TTTCTAATGTGATACACGACACAGTTCCATTCCTATGACAGTGACGTAACACGAATTTTGGTGTTAAGTTGAAACACTCCCTTTTTCTGAATCCTCTGATTTTTCTAATTTCACTTCTATTGTGATGGCTTGCCTCTTCACAAACGGAACACTTCCACTTTTAACAGTCCAAAATGGCATAGGTAACCGTAAGTATGACGCGAACGGCATTTTAAAAAGTTTTTATGGGAGTGAGTGTCGTAAACTCGAAATATCATATGTCGAGACGTCGTAAACCAAGGACCCGCAGTATATATGCTTTGTAAACGAATGAAGAAAGTAATGATTTTTAATTTTAAAATCAATAAATTTGCACTATTTTTCCTGAACAAAGCAAGCGTCACAAGACTGTCTTTGAACACTGTAGCTAGCCTAAGAATGCTTGGTTCAAGGGTTGAAACTACTTCTACATTCCTGGAATTGTGTCATTAGGCTTTGGTGGCATATATGAGTAACTGGTGCGATCTGCAGACAGCCAAGGGCAAGGTTAGCTGGCAAAGGCACATTGCAGGTGTACTGATGTGGAAGACGCCAAGTGATTGGTCAACGGTGCATTCCGTCAAGCCCAGATGAGCAGAGCTTGGCCCACACAGATTCTTGTTCAACCCCACTACACCCGGGCAGTGTCACAGACAAGGAGACCAATGCCACCGAGTTCAGTGTGTTCCAGGACTGAACGTCGTTTTCCTTGCCGTCTTCATCATGGCTGAGAACAAACCCTACCGCTACGGGCTCATCATGCTTGGACTGCTGGTGGTGGCCCTCGGCCTCTTCATCATGAGTGTAGAGGAACCACAGGTGTTTGCCACTTTTTGTGCCATGGGTATACTCATGGTGAGCGTGGGCACTGTGTGGAGTATGTGCCAGTGCTATCCCAAGGTAGGCAAATGAAAAGCGAGAACCAGCACTCTCTGTATTAGGCACAAACTTTGTAGTATTTAGCTTGCTTTGATAGACTTGGCAAATGCTTGTGAAGTAAAATTGGAAGTCTGCTGGACTATGTGAGACTTACCGAATGTAAAAGGATACAGTACCTCAGAAAATTACTGCTCTCATATCTTACAGGTGACTTTCATTACTGGAAACCAGGAAGATCTTTGTGTCACTGAGAAGGGAGGGTTGATCTCTGTGACTGAGACTTCCATGAGGAGGTACTGTTTGGGGACAAGGGACAGAGTTATGTCCTTGGACCAGAGAGGTTCACGCTGTTCAAACACACAGATGCCAACAAGGATTGTTTAGCCTAATTTATTTTCCCCTAATGATATATATTCCGCAAGGCGCACAATATTGAAGTGCTTCGCTATGATAGCCAGAAGCCTTTATTGGATGCTCACTCTAGTTGTAATTATCGACTGTGGTCGGACAATCAAATCTGGAGAGAGCTGGAAAAAGTGTCATTTACAATATTGTTACCATCCATCCATCCATTTTCTGCATCTGTTTGTCTTATTCAGGGGGGTCTGGAGCCTATCATGGGAATTATGGGCAGGGAATAACCCAGGGAGGGGTGCCAGCTGTTTGGAGGAGGGGGAGGGGGACCAGATAATCTGGAGGAAACTCCCTGACAACATAGGGAGAACATGAAAACTCCACATACAGTACATGGAGCCAGTGTGGAGACTCGAACCCTGTTCCTAGAGGTGTGAGGGAGCAGTGCTGACCACTGCGGCCCCTCAATATTGTTATCAGTCCTGGAATATTAATGATAATGTAAAGGGCAGAAAATGAGCCCATAAAGAAAAGGACGCCAGTAGATGGGCGTCAGCCTGGAACTGTGGTTGATACAATAGTTATTTAAAGGATTTCCATCATTGTGCATCGCTATAAAATAAACAGGCAACACGAACAAGTTTAATAAGTGTAAAAATAAGTGGGTTTTTTTTCACAAGATGGAATAGGTCCTGTATTCAAAGGATTAGAGTATTTTTTAGAAAGTTTGATAAACCTGCATGTTACTGGAATGTTCCACTTGCAGGGGATCACTTACACTGTATGCCTTGATCTGTCCCATCAGTGGTTCAGAGCCAGTGAGGGCCCCACTGGTAAGCTTCCAGAATGACATGGACTTTGAGGGTGATGAACGTTTTCCGCCTGGGCCAACCACGAGGACTGGAATTCAGGCTAACTTAGCACACGCAGGCCAAGTCACAGCCCTCAGCACCACCCGCAGCTGTCCTACTCTTGACTTTTTACACACAAGCACCCCATTGGCAAAGATGGATTCTGAGCCAGAGATGTATTATGGGAAAGTGGAGGACTTGTGCCACTTTGAGTCAGACTTGGACAGCGAGTAACATGTTTTTTTACTGGAGCTTGTTAAAAAAACAGAAACTTGAATCATCTTACCTTCAGATTATTGCATAACCCTGTCAAGTATTTATTTTTTTTTGTTTCTTTGATTAATTGAATGCATTTATTAATATAAACCCTATGACTGCAAAACAAAATGTCTGATGTCTGTTTCATAAATTAGATGTCCTCTGTGCTATCATGATTCATGACACTGGAGATAAGAACCTTGGTCAAAACAGCCAGGCAGACAGTTGGAAATCATCACTTGGGTGCTGTTTCCTTCACAGAATGATCTGCTGGCTGAGAGCATCAAAGCATAAGCCAATAAGGGGCCGCTGGTCCTGGGAGAAAACACAGAGCTGGGGGGGGGGGGGGCAGTGCATGCTTCCTTACAAAGCTGCTGCCCCTGACAACCACATGATTGTGCTGCCTATAATTACATCAGCCCCTCTCTCGGATGACGATTCTGACCAGGCCTGGCCACAGGGCCACCCAGAGCCTGTTCCCCTATCAGAGAGCCCATTAAGGTAAATAATTGCCTGGGGAATTGACGATTGAGCAGAGTTTCTTCTGTGTAACATTTACATCATGCCCTGCAGAATAATGACACTGCTCTGTCATCAGATATGTGAAAATATCAAAACACTCCGAGCCATATTAGATGTTAATTGATGTAAAGCTATAGGCAGGGATGGGCAGTATATCTGATACATGTATTTAAAATAAGTATAAGTATTTTAAATACAAAATTGCATTTGTAATTTGTATTTGACTGAAATTATTACATAATTTGTATCAAAATACTTTGATATTCAGTATTTTTGTATTTTGAAAATACAAGAAATAGTTTTCCCCGTAGTGTATGTGAGCCGATGCCATTTATGCGAAAGGTTCGTGGATACACAAGGAGGAAGCTGAGTTTTGTCGAATATTTTAATGAATGGTCATTAGAGCCAATAGTCGGTCACTTATATTGAACCAAAAGACTTACAAACTGCATTCAGGCCTGTTTGCGTTTAAAGTTTTTAAGATGTTGCTGAAGAAAGAGCTTAAACTGTGTTTGTATGTAAAATACAAAATACTATAGTTTACTTTGGTATGTTGTTGGCTGTGTTTTGTAGTTGCTTTGATACACTTACAAATAGGGTATTTGGTATCAAAGTACATTTTGACGTTTCTTGTCCATGTCTGGCTATAGTTTTTTTTTTAATCTAAATTGCACAAAAATGCTGCAATTGTAATAACAATTGTCGAACAATGTCTGAGTTATGAATATTTTGGGTTTTGGGTAATAATTTGGACTTGGGGTTTGCTTTTTCTTTGTATTTCATTTGCCTGTTTACAATGAGCTGCCCGTGTTTCACGTCATGACCTCTGACTACGATTTTGGAATTTGATTCTGCACTTGGCTCTCATACACTTATTACTGTCGGACATAAAATGAAACAATGATATAAAAAATTTTAAACAAAATATTAAATTAAACGCAAGGAACACCCGCACACCTTGCTACAGAGGACACCAAAACACTGAGCCCTGCACGGAGCAGTACAGTGCACAACAGTGGCATACACCACGGGGTACTTTAACACACTTATTCACACATCACAATCGTGCACAACAGTGGCATACACCACGGGGTACTTTAACACACTTATTCACACATCACAATCGTGCGCTACAGACAGGGCTGAACTTGTATTAAAAATTTTGAGGTTCACGATTAAATTTACCAAGCGTGGCGCCCCCCATGATAAATTTTGTGGGCCCAATGACTCACAATGTCAGCTTGCGGTCAAAACATGCTCTAGTCTACATATTCTGTGACAACCTGAACTTTCAGTCAAAATCCAGAAGATGGCAGTATTAAGTATATAGCTAAAAAAAAAAAGACAAGAAACAAATAATTTCATCCATCCATCCATCATCTCCCGCTTAATCCGAGGTCGGGTCGCCGGGGCAGCTGTCTCAGCAGGGAAACCCAGACTTCCCTCTCCCCGGCCAATTCATCCAGCTCCTAAATTCAATTGAATTTAATTTTAAAGTATATTTTACATAGTAACTTTTAAAATGTATGCCTTCATAAACTAAAACGTAAAGGCACCAATACACTGTAATGTATTAATGTTATTAATTTCAATATCGGTATGCTGTTCACAGTAAATACTTCAATTGCTTAAAATCATTAAATCATTCACTGACTTAAGCTATGTAAAATTAAACATTCAACAATATCTTAACATGGTAATGGTATTTAAAGTACTTATGTGCATCTACTGTGTGAGTTATAAGAGTATACTTTATACTCGAGTTAAATGTTTAATACTTTTCCAACACTGCACGTTCATTGGGTAAGTGAATGTGAGAAGATACGTGCCTGAATTCGCCAATATGACAAAAAAAAAAAAGTTGGCCGCATTTTACACAGATTCATTTTACAAGTTCAAACTCAAACCCGCTTCCCGAAAAATTGCAGATGGAATGCAAACGTACTTTTGATAAGACAAAGCAAACTTCCCATAAACAGAGCGTGAAACCCGACTCCTTCATTGTACCAATTCACAGGTACGCATAAGGTCGGATCGTCCGATACAAACGGAGTGGCGTGACCCCCCAAAACGTCACTTAGTCCCGCCTTGAGGGATAGCCCTTAATCAGGCAGAAAGTGTCAGAACTGTTTTCATTGCCAGCAATCTTTGCCAACCCCACTTCAGTGGCCGCAATCCTATACACACATTGAAGAAAGAATATTTTCTCTGTGTCAATTTAACCATTTGTAAAATGGGAGCAGTTGTTACCGTACGCATTATCACTTCTATTTTCTGCCTGCTAATTTGTGGCGTGTTTTCCGAAGATTACACTGATGATGATAAGATGATTATTTCTCTTATTCTGCAAGATGATACACAGCCAGAATCTGGACGGGAACCTTCTGCAGATTTCTACAGGTGCCAGAAGGTAGGATACCTGCTGCCCAGGGTCAGCAGATACGGACCCGTAAATATTCCGGTTCTTAAGTTATTAGTACACATGCTATGGTTTATCTTAATGAAACTGCCATAATATAATCTGAATGCTGTCTCTGGTGTATTTAAATTGTTCACGTTGTTAAATTTTATAACATTTGCTTGCACATACACAAATAGCTCAATATTATTTTTTTTCACCATACAACTTTTTTAAATGCATAATTCGTGCTTCCTTTACGTTTTGCGGCCAGGATGCGTGGCGGATCCCCGGACAGTATATCGTGATGTTACGCGAAGGGACTCACGAGTCCCAGGTGGAGCGCACTGTTCGGCGGCTACGCGCCAAAGCGGCAAAGCGGGGATACCTCATCGAGGTGCTGCGGACCTTCTCAGGAGCCTTTCATGGCATCCATGTCAAGATGAGCAGCGATGTGTTGGATCTGGTAATGCACATGGACTTCATCAGTCGGCTACATTACAATTTAGTTAATATTTTGTAACTTTATCTAGGGTTATTTATGCAAAAGTGGGACAAGTGATTTAGAAAAATATCAAATATATAATTATATATTTTTATTCTAATGGTGTTTCTGCAGGCTGTGAAATTGCCCCACGTAAAGTACATCGAGGAAGACTCCTTCATCTTTGCTCAGGGCATTCCCTGGAACTTGGACCGGATTGTGCTGACAAAACATGCTGCGGGGAAATACTCACCGCCGAGTAAGTTTACACCTAGTCTACGCTCCTTATTCATACGGTGCGCTTTCTCAGTGTTAGCAATAGTGTAACGCAGGTGCAGATGTCCAGTGAGGTAGCTGAAGGATCTCTGTTCGCCCTCAGATGATGGTGAGCAGGTAGGGGTGTACCTACTGGACACGAGTGTTCAGAGCAACCATCGGGAAATCGAGGGACGAGTTCTGATCACCGACTTTAATAGTGTGCCAGAAGAGGACGGAGTCCGCGTTCACAGACAGGTTTGTTCTTAATAAGTGCTGCGCTTGCAAAGAATGCAGAGACAGCAGATTTTTTTCCAGATTGCACATTAGCAATCGTTACATACACCACCATACATTATATGGACAATATGTGTCATGCTGTATAATGAATTTTACAATGTAGGCTAAACTCATTTTAGACCCAGTGGCATTCCCACTGGCGTAAAATTACATGCACTTTTACACGGTGTAGTTTGGGCTGAACACCATCAGGTGGCAGAAGAGACATAAAAATGACTGGCTTTAAAAAAAAAATAAAAAAATCATGGGATTCCGAGGGGCTGTACCGGGTGCAGTTTTGTACCCTCATTCAAGCCCATAATTGAGATAATGGATCAGACCAATTAAGCTGTCTTCTGAAATTATTAGGTGATAAAAACACAGCTGTCAAACCTGTACATATAAACTGCTTAAAAGTTATAACCTTGGATTGCTTTCCATAAGAAAGTCAGATAGTAGCACAGGTAATAGGATGGATTATACCTTAAGCCTAGTTTGAAAGGTAGACTTAATGGACAATGGCACGGTATTTCCTATGGTGTAAATTATTACAGACTTCGTTTTCAGAAAGGGGTGCAATTTTTGTCTCTTGATAAGAAAGCCAGGTGTAAAGTTCAGGTTCAGAAAGTACAAATCCAGATCATGTCTTTGTTTCAACCAACCAAAAAAGAGTCACATTGACGGAGTACTCAATTGGTTGGTTGAAACAAAAATTTTGGTCTGGATTTGTACTTCCTGGACCTGAACTTTCCACCTCTGATGAAGGCTAATAATTTGCTGAACGAGCAAGATGATATGTTTTTTTTTTTTAGTTTATGGGACATCTTGATGCAAATCAGATTTGTGGCTGCTAATGATGAATGGATATTAAGTTGGTTAAATATATATAGCTGGATGATCCCCCTCCCATTTTGACACTCGTTCTCTCTCATAGGCCAGCAAGTGTGACAGTCATGGCACCCACACAGCAGGAGTGCTGAGTGGGCAGGGTTCAGGCGTGGCACGGGGTGCCAGCATACGCAGCGTCCGTGTGCTGAACTGCCAGGGAAAGGGTACCGTGTCCGGAGCCCTAGCTGGTAAGGGGCCAAACCAGCTACGTGAAAACATTGAAAGCCACCAGGCAATAGCCACTTGCTAATCAGCCAGTTGAGTGACCGTTCTTTGATTGACTTTCAGGCCTGGAGTATGTCCGTGCTTCTGTGCTGGCCCAGCCCTACAGCCCCCTCATCGTTCTTCTGCCCTTTACTGGGGGGTTCAGTCGCACTCTTAACACCGCCTGTCGGGAGATGGTTAGCAATGGCGCGATCCTCATTGCCGCAGCAGGAAACTACCGCGACGATGCCTGTCTCTACTCGCCTGCTTCGGAACCACAGGTAGCTAGCTATAGTGACTGGTATTCATTCAGCTTAATGCCAAGATGGGCCAATGGTAGCTGCTCATGGAGATGCTGGATACTTTTCTCACTGTCCTCCCTGATACAGGTGATAACTGTGGGTGCCACCAACCTTGCTGACCAACCCATGAACAAGGGGATACTGGGGACTAACTATGGCCGATGTGTCGACCTCTTTGCCCCCGGAGATAACATTGTCAGTGCCTCCAGTGATTGCCCCACATGTTTCACTGCCAAGAGTGGAACCTCACAGGCAGCTGCCCATGTGGCTGGTAAGATCAGAACTAATGTAAGGGTTCTCCTAAGCTGATGAGAACCAATTTAAGCTTCATGCATGGAACTATTTATTATTCTGTTTTGTGCTTGTATAGTTTTTAACACAGAATAATTATTAATACCAATACCAGATAGATATAGTTACCAGGGTTGGGGCCATACTGGAATGCATTCATCAATTCCAGTCCAAATCAGGAAATGGAAGTGGAGTTGGGAAAAAAAACTATTGGGAACAGAATTGGAACTGAATTTGAATTTCAGGGAGATTTTATTTCCAGGTTCCAGTTCCATTTAAAGTCCAGTTCTATTTCTTGATTTTGATTTGATGATTTGATGAAAACATTCTGGAATAGCCCCAACCTCAATAGTTACCAAATTATAGTTATAGTGAATTGGAGTTGCCCAACTCCCTGTGAGCACACCTGTATGAATGAATGGTGTGTGAGTGTTGCCCTACGATGGGTTGGTGCCCCATCCTGGGTAGTTCACTCCCTTGCACCTGTAGCTTCAGGGATAGGCTGTGCACCCCCTGCGACCCTGAATAGGACAAGTGCGTACACAAAATGGATGGATGGATGGATGGAAATATTATGCTTTGTGTCTAATTTGTGCCTAATCTAATAGTATACTTTTATGTACACCTAAATGCTAATAGAGAATAGTGCAAGTGGTCAGTGACTGAGGGGGTTGTTATGGTTGCACACCTCCTGGGCTGAGGCTTTGATTGCTGCCTGACCTGTGCATGTGGAGTTTTAAAGTTCAGCTGTGTATCCTCGCACACTGCATAGACTTGTGACATACACCATAAGGACACAAGTATTGGGACACCAGCCTGTCCAACAAAGCACTCTGAATCAAAGAGCATTAATATGAAGTTGGCTCACCCTTAGTTGCTATAATAGCCTCTGATCTTCTGGGAAGGATTTCCATTAGATGTTGGAACGTTGCTGGTGGGATTTGCTGCCATTCAGGTTGGATATCGATGTTGAGTGATCAGCTCCCTTTCTGTGAGCTTGTGTGGCTGCCACCTCACAGCTGAACTTGCTCCCAGATGTTTCCACTTCACAGTCGCTTCATGTGAGGTTGACCAAGGCAGCTCTAGCAGGACAGAAATATGGAGAACTGACCTGCTGGAAAGGTGTCCAGTGGTGTCCAATGATGGTGCTGGGCTGACTAACCTATTCTGTATGACCCCCCCATTCTGCTGCCATTGATGCTGGAGGTTGCATGGCTGTGCGCTTAATTATACACCTGTGTGTCAGCAGTGGGCGTGGCTTATGTGGCCCAATCCTGTAATTAGTCCGGGTGTCCCAGTATTTTTGTCCATATCATGTATGGCGGTTTGCCCATGCTGTGACGGACAAGCATCCTGCAACATGGCACACTCAGTGGCTCCAGGTTGCGACCGTACATTGGCTGTTTAATTAAAAAAAGAAAGCTTGCAATTTTTGCAGAAATTTAGTTCAGAGTTCCAAAAAGCACTTGCACTGAAGCTGGAGTTTAAGCTCAGATAATAGAAACCAAAATGGAAATTATTAATACTCAATGGTCCTCATCTACTGAATCTAACGTTATATGTCCTCTTTTAGGAATAGCAGCTGTAATCCTCAACTCAAATCCCAACCTCACATCCACCGAAACCCTTCACCAGCTGCTACAGAACTCCGTCAAGCACGTCATGGACTCCAGTGCCTTCCCAGAGGAGCACCGCTTAGCCACACCCAACATGGTGGCTGGACTCCCCCCCTCCACATCTAAAGGTCAGAGTTCACATGGGTTTTAGCAGTGGCATGACACAGAAATACTGAAATGCACACGTAGGAACTGCTTCCCTCCAACGGTGGTCTATGTACCGTCTCAGGTGGTGGGTTGATGTGCCGTTCGGTATGGTCCCCAAAGTCTGGCTCCTCAAGCTTAGACATGGCAGTAAGCTGCTGCCGCGCTGAAGAGGAGATGTTTAGCTGCTCCAGCTTCTCACCCAGCGGTGTTCGTTCAGGAGATACCATCCATGTGAGTGCTAACAGTATTCCACAAATACCTAGCATTTCGAAAAGAGCCTCTACAGGTTGTGCAGATCGGCAAACTGCACAACAGAGTCCATGCCAACAATTGTTTATTTCTGTCTCTGGCAGGAGCGAGATGGTCAGAAGGAGTGTATCGCTTACAACGCCTATGGAGGCCAAGGCGTCTACGCCATTGCCCGTTGCTGCACTTGGGAAGGTGTGCATTGTGAGGTGAGGTCCAGCCAGCAGCAGGGTGAACAGGTGGAATGCCCCAGCTCAGATCACCATCTCATGGGTAAGACCACTTCGCTGGCCTATTTAGGTTATAACGTCAGTTACTGTATATTATGTGTATTTTGAGGACTTTGGCTAAATGAGCATATATAATATAGCATTAGCATAGAAGCTAGAGCTTAAGTTGATGACAAACCGAAGTGGAAACGTTCTGCAGCACATCAAATTGTTTTCCCTCAGCTCTTAGTAAACCCGTATCTACCTTGAACTTGAATCAATCATCAAACATACCTAAGTTGCACTTTTTAGTCATCTCAAGAACCAGATGACCTGAACTTTCCCCCACAGGTTGTGGCTCTCATTCGGTTTCCGGGGCGGCGGTTGACATGGCTCGCCCTCTCCACGGTGACAAAAAGGCATGTTCCGGGACGGCGGGCATGACATCCCACGCTTTGTGCTGCCAGGCCCCCAGCCTGGAGTGCCAGTTGAAGGAGCACACATCCCCTGGATCTACGGAGCAGGTGCATGACGACCGTTTCAATTATGGAAAGTAGGGTTAACAAATTCTCTGATCATCCATTCATGCTAAACTAGTCCATCCTCACTGCATTCATTTGACTGTAGAAAGCTTAGAAGAATCAACTTGTTAAGTCTGATGTGATGTGTGACGTAAAACTGTTTTGGGGCCATAGCTTTTTTATTCAGCAAGGTGAAAAGGGGGACACATTTCTTTCATTCAAGTTTATAAAAGGGCAAAAAAATAGATGAAAAAGGGGGTAGCAGTAATAGACTCTTATGTGGCTCATGAAAAAGTTACTTTAATTGAAACAAACTGATGAGTGTAGCTGTTCTCCTATGAGTAATTATCGGTACATCAGTACACACTCGTTACATTTTGGTTCAGTATGCACAATGAAATGAATAACACAATAATTTCTTGACACAGGTAGAACCTAAATACTCAAGTAGATGTTCAGCATGGAAAAATTATGCTAATTGTGTCTGTGAGTTTGTTAGGCTAGTCCTGGTTACTGTCAGTTATAATTGGTGGCTTAGGAACATTTTGGTTTCCAATAAAGTACACTAACAGAGGAGAGAGTAATCGATAAAACCAAGACTGTGCGTCGGCTCTGTTATACTGAACTTGAATATGTTGCTGAAAACACATCCAACGTACTAACTCATGTTGAGATGACATCATCCGAATATGTGAATGACCGGAGCAAGACAAAAACCATCTTTCCATGGCATTTAAGCAAATTCAGCTATAAACCGGTGACCATTCTTGGTAGTAGAGCACAGGGGATTTAGTTCATTACGAATATTATGATATTTTCATTTTAAAATTTTATCTATTTTTTTCAATGTACAAATAACCGTGTGTTTTTATTTAAACATATTGGTGGACACATTCCACCAATTAAATATTAAATAATCTCAGAACAAATACTGTTTTCCCTACTTTACCAAAATTGCACTGAACTGGGAACCCAAAACCGAGGTTTGCACCGAACCGTAAATATTGTGTACCATTACACCCCTAATACTAAGCATGAAAAAAACTGTTAAAAATGGCTATTTCGTTTTATATGGTCAATTCTTTAGATTTTTTTTCCAGATCAATTAACACTGTGGCATATTGCATTGTACCTGGGTTGGCTGCGGGAATTGTCATGTGATTCAAACAATTCATGACAAGCGGAGAGTCATAATTCTTGGGTTATAGTTACTGGATGCTGCCCAGCAGAGACAGAATACCTCATATCAGTAAATGATAAACAAGCTTATCATGCCTCAATCTGAGGTCCTTAGGGGTTCATTAAAGTTATGCAACATGATATTTTCAGAGGCATTTTTGCATTTTCCACTCTCCTGTGTGTCAGGTGGAGGTTTCCTGTGAAGATGGTTGGACATTGATGGGCTGCAGTGCCTCGTCCCAGGGAGCAGTGACTCACGGGGCATATGCCAGGTGGAACACCTGCCTAGTGAAAAGCTCCGGGCAGAGGAATGAAGTCACTGTGGTTGCAACCTGCTGCCGTCAGAAACAGGCCCCTGAACAAGCTGCGAGTAAACAATAACCGGCCTGTCCACCACGGGACTCAGCTCCGCCCTTCGAGGGCCTTGGAACGGCTCTTCAGATCATCTCTGCCTTTTGTCATTGCATGTAAGCTGTGTATATTCACATAATGGCATTATGACCATAGAGGCTTTGCCTGAAGAGGCACACAGGGACCATTACGTTCCCAACGGCTCCTTTTCAGGCTTTCTCTTATTTGAAAACAACTAGGGAAAAGACTTCAGGCAGTTAATATCTGGTTAAAAACCCTGTACATTGCTATTTGCCATAGAATGTTTGCATAACAACAAACCGAGTAATATGATGCATATTACAAGTAATTAACACATGGGAATGTATCGTATATATAACAAAAATTGTTTTTTGAAACAAGGTGGCACAGTGATTAGCACTGTTGCCTCACACCTCTGGGACCAGCGTTCGAGTGTCCCCCCATGTGTGTGGAGTTTGCATGTTCTCCCCGTGTCATTGTGGGGTTTCCTCTGGGTACTCCGGTTTCCCCCCACAGTCCAAAAACATCTTGAGGCTGATTGGAGTTCTTAAACTGCCCATAGGTGTGTGTGAGAGTGGATGGTCTGTGTGTGTGTGTGTGTGAGAGTGGATGGTCTGTGTGTGTGTGTGAGAGTGGATGGTCTGTGTGTGTGTGAGAGAGTGGATGGTGTGTGTGTGAGTGTGC